TAGCTAGATATCCACCTTCACTGTGCATTTATCTGGAGAGTTAATTGCAGATGAGTTAAGACACAGAATTTAAATGATGTGAGATATATATATATAAAGCAAGAATGAAGGTTTCTAAGTAACCTGCTTGTATTAGGCCTCATCTGCTATGGTATGTTGGTTATGATGAGAGTTGGAACAAGAATAACAATGTTTACATTCTCAAAAGATAAATGTAGAAACGAGGCTTTAAAAAAATCATTTCACAAAAATGTACCTCTTCAATTCTCAAATTCACTCTTTTTACCGTGAAGGACTTTTCCCTCTTTAGACAGGCTGACAATCAGCCAAGAAGAACTACCAAAATGGCTGCACAGAGTTCATACGGGAATCAATGAAGTCAATGATCCCCAAGAGAAGGAAAGTCTTTTGCCAAATAAATCAACTTCCTCTGGGGTGATTATGGGACAGGCCGTGCTATTGTCTCCATTCACAGTGGTGTACCCTTTTTTGTTCTTTCCAGCACATTCCTTCTTCAAATGAGGTAGTGGCTAACTTCCAAAATAAAGAGTACTTTTAAAAGGAGCAAAGTATATCAATCATGCAATGGCAGTAATATTGGGTCTTTTATTTGTTCTTCTCAAAGCCTGCTATTCGGTTTTAGTGCCTACCCTTTGACCCATCCGTATGCCAACCTCAATCAGAGACCCTACGGCACATGGGGATTTAACAGACTGCAGTTACTTCTGAAATGATGCCCCTGAAATACAGTGAAACACACCACAGAACTATACCTGCTAATGCCTCACCGAAGAGCTACACTGCCAAGAGCAGTGAGTTCTATCTCCTCACCCATCACAAATGGGACACAGTCTGAACTGGTCAAGCAAAGTCAAACATTCAGAAAAAATACATCAGTAATTAATAATACATTCTTGCAGAGTGATTTAACTGTAGAGTCTGAATTAAATGACCAATGAACCACAATGCAAAATCAATGTGTAGTCATTCTTTGTGCTCTTATGTGCTTGACAGGTGGATCTAACGCGAACTGAGAATGTTCTATGAAAATTTTAAAGATCAGGTCCGGCTGGCCCCTGCTCAGCATATAGATTACCCATGGTCAAAAGTTAAGAAGCTGCACTCTGATTCTTTGACAGAATTAAACCAATGGCTTATGGTCAATGCTGTCTTTTTGTGACCAGGGTAGCTTTAAGAGTCACCTGCACAGTTCCTCAAATGCAAACACTGTATGACTCAGAGGTAGAGCAAGCACCTGCTTGGAGCAATGCTGTGAATTACAGAAAGGAGAGCAGCGTGGTCAGGGGATAAAGCAAGTCTCTCAGGCTCGCATCATTTAAATTCTATGTCTTAACTCATCTGTAATTAACTCTCCAGATAAATGCACAGTGAAGGGTAGACATCTAGCTACACTTAATTTTGTCTTCAATCAATGGTGAATCATTGAGAAGTGAGTCAACAAAAGTTAGATTCTTTTCAAAGCATTTGGATTTATCCCTAGAATCACTGTAAAGAACTCTCAGCAGGAGGAAAGGAATTTAAAACCTAGAATGCAGATTGAATCTGGTCCTATCTCTTTCTGTAATTGTACAAACACTTAAACTTTAATCCTAAGGCCCTTGAAGACAAAGAGCCATTATTCAATCATCTTGCATTAAGACTTACGCTGGGAGCAGTCACTGCCGATCCAACCTGGGTAGCACTGACAAGATCTGTCGATGGGGTTGCAGGTGCCATTGTTGGTACAAGTACAAATTCCCACACAGTTTTTCCCAAATCTGCCACTGGGACACACTGTGAATAATCCATAGGTCAGTAACTCACAATCAAACCATCACACAGAACCCTGGGCCCTAGGGCAGGAACTGATTTCAAAGGTCACTGGCCAAGCTGTCCATGTGGTGGCCGCCTCTGTTCAACACCATTCCTCATTCTACATGGGCTCATTTTTATAAATGCATAAAATCAAGGACTTTCATTCAGGATAATAGATCAGGAGACTTCATTACATTTCTAGAAAGCCGACTTCCGGCTTCTCACTTAGGAAGTCAAAATCTTCCCTTGTATTAAAGTTTCATTGGAGCATGTTCCCAAATAAAACTGAAGACTAGCACCCCTCAGAGACAAAGAGGTGACATAATAATCCAGTGCTTGCTGGCATAGCAAGCTGACATAACAACCCAGCACTCCCCAAGCTCAAAGTCATTTCAGAAGCTGCACATCTCTCAACCAGGAGTCATGAAGAGATAATGGGTGAAAACACATTCTCCAGAAGTCTAAGAACAGAGACAGTAGAGCTGTGTTTCTCTGAAATGCTCAGGAGCCTTACCTTCATTGCACAGTGCTCCGGTGAATCCAGGCAAGCAGTCACACAGGCCTGTGATATGGTGACAGGGCCCACTGCTGTGAACACACTGTGGACATGCTTGGCTGCAGCGGTGCCCGTAAAAACCAGGGGAGCAGACTGAAAATAGAATGGAAATCAGCCATTATCTTTTCTGAGATTAACTGTCTCATTTTCTACATCAAGATCTCGTTAAAGTTTTGAAGGAAAAAAACTTTTTTGAAAAAGGTTATAGAGAATTTTCTAAGACAAGAATGACAATTGGAACAAGGACATTCTTTAATAAGGAAAGAAGCAACTAAAGGCACTCTGAATTCCTCCAGGGCAAGCAGATGTCTTAGTCCTCTTTATTTTTCAATTTAAAGTCCCTGTAATTAACTCAAGGCTGGGCAGAAGCCAGGACTCAAAGAATTATTGTTGAGTGGATAGAGAAATGAAGAAATTAAAATTCTAAATACTAGTAATCCCAAGTAAGTACACCCCAATTATTGGTTCATCCTTTATTCTTTAAGAATCATTTTTGGTAATTAATAAATCCACAGTCAAAGTTAGATCTTTCCACTTCAGAATGACTGAGATTGGTAATTGTGATTGGAAAGTAAATAAACAAAATGCTACATACTTAGGTGCTTCCCGAGACTTTATTTAAGTATGGGATGACTGCATAGAGCTTGAAGTGAAATTCAAAAAATTAACAGTGTATTTTATAACTAGTTATATATTCTTTTTCAATTACATTTACTAAAAGATGTAGTGAAGTGTTATGGATAATTTCCTAACTCAAGAATTCTACTGACCAATGTCAGCAGCTCCCACTTTCAACTTTGCAACTTCGTTTTCCCCATAGCACCGACTCTAAGGCCACTAGCAGGGTGCATGATTTGCCTCGAGGTTTGGCTGATGTTGACTTCTGGTAATTGAGTTAAGGCCAATGCCAAATTGCTTAATAAAATATTCACAGGTCAATGGATTTCTAGAACGCCATGTGCAGGGTCTACAGAAGAATCGTGTTCTGACGACAGTGCCAACGAGGCAGTGAAAGCATTCCTGTGAAGCAGCATTAGTCCTGAAGGTTAATGAGAGTAAAGCTCTGGGGGAAGCGCTGTGAAGAACGGTTTTGCAAAGGACGGGTGTCCTATCACACCTTCTTCTAACCTTGGTTGCAAAGGAACATCGCTATGAACTAAGGGGTGGAATAGAGATCACCGTTCTGTCCCTACTGTGTCAGGAAAGGAAGGTGGAACTTACTGTCTCAGGCGACACTTACTTCTCTGGCAAGTGGTGCCTCGGAATCCAGGAGCACATTCGCAGATGCCATCGTCAGGGGAGCATGAAGCTCCATTTTTACAGTAGCAGGGCAGGGAGCAGTTGGGGCCCCAGCGTCCCTCGGCGCAGACGCTGTCACAGCGCACACCTGTAATGAGGCACACAGGGTGGGGCTGAGGAGGCAGCGCCAGGCCTCCCATGGATGCTCAGTGGAAGATGAGGACCAGGCGCACAACAGTAACACTAAGTCCCGCAGGCAACAATGAGCAGAGATGATATTAGGCTTAAAATCCAGATGTCATCTTATACACAACAACACACAAGATCATTATAACATTAAAATAATGCCCAGAGCTATTTTTCTCTGCAGCTATAAAGAAGGAATAAAACACCCTTGCTACATTGATTTTATTTCTTTAGTAAGAAGGAGCAATAGGGAGGCCCAAGGCTCTGTCTATTGAAGGCAAAATTTATCAAAAATAGTATTGATTTCCTCCGTCCTCCTATTCTTTGTTCTCACAGAGAAATGAACACAGTGTGCAATGAGAAGGCACAGGGGGGTAGTTAAAGTATTTTACATCAAGAAAACCTTACCCAGGCATAAACACATACATGAACATGATCTTAGAATATTTTGATGATACACTGTGCAGAACAGAAAGAAGCACTAATGTGTCACCAAATTCTTCCTTAAAAATTTAATCTTAAGGGCCAGCCAAATAGCTCAGTGGATTAAAACACCTACAAGTAGGCGCAGGGCCCAGGGGTTCAATCGCTGGGCATGGTGGCACGCACCTATAATCCCAGCTCTTGGAAGGCTGTAAACTGGCGGATCACTATGAGTCCGATTAGTAGTGAGACTCTGAACACCGTGTTCTGAACCTCACTAAGACACCCTGTTCAGAGTCTCACTAAGATGAAAAAAAAATTAATCTTACACTGAATAGAGATAAGAAACATAACACAGCTGAAAGTATTTATAGCTGTCGTTCATACTATTGATTATTGTGAAACTGTAGATAGGTATTGAATTCTTATTTTGGAAACAAATAAACTAGAATCACCCATGAAGGAATAAACGAATGCCTAAATGAACATAAAGGAAAATGAAGGTTGCAAAAAAAATAAAACTTAAACCAAGTTTTATTTGAGATAAAAGGAAGTCTCATAAATCTGTATTTGAAATCCAATGAGGAGTTTTTATTGTCAGAGTTCTTCACAACTCAAAGAAATGTCTTCACATTGAAAGGTAATATATTATAATTAGTAGTGAACTAGTGACTGCTGGCTTTTGACCAAATAAAAATACAGTAAGAACAAGCACGTACACTCTCCAGAATTCCAGAACTAACAGCGACCCAGGACTCAGGATGCAGAGCTGGCTGTGGTTTGCATGACAAGTCTTGCTAATAAAGTGATTAAGAGAAAACCCCCCTGTGGCTGAAACATTAATACTTAATGTAGAAGCAGTTCCTGACTATAATGTGCATGCTGCTAATGGGTACAGAGCCATTTCTGCTGAATAAGAATCCTCCTTTTTTTGTACTATTCCACTTTCTCCTTTTGAAAGTCTCCCACATGGTATAGGCTGCTAAGTAGGCATGAAAGCACCCAGGCCTCTTTGTGTCCTGCTTGAATCAACAACAGCCTTGTATTTCAGCTCAGGTGGCTGGCTACAGAAAGGAGGGTAGGTCTGTTTCTAAAACTAATTGGGGTTTAAATGTTCCTATAAAATAAGACATGGAATTTGGCCCTACTATGAGACTTTTTCCTTACATCCACAAATATATTATCTTTCTTTTTAAACATCTTTTAGAAAGCTGAGACCGAATCCCATTTTGTGTCCTTTCCAAATGTGACACACCACCCACCGGGTCTTGGCTGGTCATCGTACCAACACCTGTATCAGGCAGACGTATCAAACATACTGAGTAGTTGTCCATTGCAAAAGGAAATAGTGCCCTTAAACTTTGTTTTGTGAATTGAAAGAAAGTGTTAACAAGAGTAACCTGCTATAGGCTTTACTCTCCATTCAAATTCAGGTGCTAAACTGTGACCAACCATGAGCCAGGGCTCCCAGCAGCAGCAGCAGCAGCAGCTACGATGGATGCACCTGCTTTACCGAGATTAGACAGTCCTGAGCATTTTGGTCTGGAGTCATTCAGGCAAATCTCGATGAGAAGTTTAAAGAACGGAAGCTATGTAATTATCTGATTACTCTGATAATCATTCTGGAATTTTATTTTAGTCCTGATTTTTAATTTTTTTTTTTTGGTGAAGGGGGATTTTGGAGGGATAAAACTTAGCCATTTATGGTGATTTAGTTTATCAGTTACTTGCCAAATGACTACTTCACATCACTTAGATTTAGTTAAGATGAATAAGTACACTTCAGCTCATAATATATGCTGCTGCTTCATATTGTAAATTATCATGATTTATATACGGCTCAGAAAATCTCAACCACAGTATGTCACAGATAAGACAGGAAATCTGAATAAAGTGATCTTTTATTTCATATATGATTCTTCTTTCCTTAAGAGGTTTGTCCGCCTGGTTAGCATAATCATCAGTTATAATCACTTTATCAAGGTAATTTTTATATAAGCAACAAGCCCCACACTCTAGCAAGGAGATCCATTACAAAGATAAGCTCATTGTACATGATCTACTCTCCATTTCTTTTCCAGAGTTTCTAAGGGAATTCTGCAGGTCATCTATCAGCCCTCTGTCACTAATCGTGTAAGCATATTTCAGCAGAACCAACCTTATTTTCAGATTACTGTAACTTTAGGAATACAGAGAAATCTCTTCTCTGAATGTAAATTATAAACATTTGATTATCAACTTCCTTTAAAAAATTTAAGCCTTTGGCTTTTACTCTAGCATCAGTAAAAGTGAGCCATCACATTGTAGATATTCACATCTCATCTACTTGAAGTCAAATATCTGGATGTCTTGAGGCTGAGGATTTGGCTCTGTGGTAGGATGCTTGCCTAGGAAGCTGGAAGACCTGGGTTTGGTCCTTGGTACCAAAACCAAAAAATAAACCTCTCCTAAAAAAAAAATTGAACCAAAAAAGAAAAAAAAAAAAAAAAAAGATCAGAAACAAACAAGGCAACTGGATGTCTTAAGGGCAAATCCAGGGAAAAATGGGGAGGGTCTTGCTCCCTCTGCTCCATCCCTCCTCCCACTGCCACTCCTCCCCTCAGACCCTGGAGTCCTGGAAAGACAAGACAAATCAATCACTGATAAGAAGAAAATTCTATGCAGAATATTAATATTTTAAGACAGCACACATTTTTAAAAGTCTAAGAAGCAAACATCTAATTGTGACACTTGAGGCAATTACGTGCATGGCAGGAGTGCTGGGTAAGTGTTTCTCTAAGTCACACCTAGGTGTAAGGCTGCTGCTGCACACTGAATGTAAGAACAACCTTGCAGTAAAGTACACCCCAAGACAGTTATACATTTAGTTTTAAAGAATTGGGGGACTTGGTGAGCATGTATGTATTTTATTCCTTAATTATTTCTATTGCTTTCATAATATTCTTTGCCAATTTTCCTAGACTAAAAGGAATACTCTTTTCTTATTTGTAAAAATTAAAAAAAAGAGAATTGAAGAGCATAAACATTCAGAGCATGTAGCTAGCTGCCTGCTTACTGCTGGGATGTTCTCTAAGAAAGGGAACTGGAGAGTGATAACGCCCCCCCCCCCAGGCCACCACAAGTTCTGTCTGGAGATCATGGTCAGGAAAGGGGGTAGATTCCAAAGGAAGGAGAAAGGTGATGGAACAGTTTGTACCAGCCTTGGACAGGACACTGTATTAGTCAGGTCTTCATTGCTAGGACATGATGCCTGACATCCATACTGAGAGGAGGAAAGATTTAATTTAATCTCTTATTCAGCAGGCTCCATGGCAGGAATATTATGATAGAAGAGAAGGGAGAGAAAAGTCCTTTATTTCATGGTGATCAAGAAGCAGAGCAGGGGGTCCAGGGAGATGGCTCAGTAGACTAAGTGCTTGCCTGGCAAGCACAAGGGCCCGAGTTCAATCCTGGGTTCCACCAAAAGAAAAAAAAAAAGGAGAAGGAGGAGGAGGAGGAGGAGAAGGAGAAGGAGAAGGAAGAAGAAGGAAGAAGAAGGAAGAAGAAGAAGAAGAAGAAGAAGAAGAAGAAGAAGAAGAAGAAGAAGAAGAAGAAGAAGAAGAAGACAGAAGAAGAAGAAGAAAAAGGAAATGGAGAGGGACTAGATATAGACCCAAGGCCACACCTCCATGATCCACCCAGATATTCCTGGAAGTTTGCTCCACAAACCTCCACAGTAGACCCCAAAGCCAATCAAAGTTAACACTGCCCAGACCACCAGAGAGGCCCAGAGAAGTATATGCCTCTCCTTTAATAACCACAAAGATTGGACACAAATGAAACACACAGGCTGGTAAGAGTAGGTGAGATATATGGGCTGGGTAGCCAGGAAGTGGCTACAAGGAGAAAAGCCAGAATGTCACACTAGGGAGTATTTGTTTGTTCATGGTGGTGTTGGGGACCAAATGCACATGCTTTCAAAAGGAGTGGGTATGACTGAATTTGTATTTGTATAAGAAGATGGAAGATGGTTTGAGGAGCTAAGTCTAGAAGAAAGAAATTAAAGTGGCCATTGGGGTTACTGAAGTGAAAAATAATAAACCTGACAAGGCATTCAACTGAAGCAATGACTGCTATTCTTTAAGAGAAGATGAATTGAAGAGATATATAGTACAAAACACTGACAGATCCTTATGTCAGCTTTTGGGTCACTAAGCCATACTATCTGACACCCATAAGTTGAAGGAGGAGACACTAACTTGGCTCTTGATCTTACAGGATTCAGTCCATGGTTTCTGGACCCAAGGCAAAAACATCATGGTAGAAGGGCATGGGGGAGCAAAGATATGTAGTTCATAGTGGCCCAGAAGCAGATTAGAAAATGCTGTCAGAAAGCCAAGGACCAGGGGCAGACACAAAGCTCAAGGTCATGCCGACCTGCCTTATTCATACCCACAAGAGTATGTTCTACCAAATCTCCCAGGCAGATCCCAAAGCCAAACAAGTAGGCCCACCACCATAATCACCAAAACCAATCCAGGTAATTGGTTAATTCTGGAA